CCTGTACACCAAATACGCACTATGACACGATAATATGATGAAAACAATTTTTGGAAATGATGCTAGTTGTTTCCAAAATTGTGATTTTTATAAACATTATGTGTTTCAAAGATTTTAGAAATTATGCAAACCATATTAAAGTATGATAAGGTCGTATTATTATTGATTAAATATCATGGCATATTATCAATGCTTATTATTGACAATATTATGTATTTATATGAATAATTTGAGTGTGTGATCAAAATTTTAAACGTCCAACACTCTAACCAGAAACTAAATAGTAAATACCTACGTTTAATTATTTTGGTCTTAMRTAGTAACGCGAAATATTGACAACAGTATGGGAGTCTTACACAAAAAATCATAATAAAATAATTGTTGACTTCTCGTTAATCGTTCTCAATTTTTGTTGTAGGTATCAAGCAAAATGTATAATGATCTTTATAGATCTTGGATATGAGCCACGAGACGCAGACATTTCTTATCGGCCAAAACTTACAAATTATTTTAACACAGACTACTGGCATACACACCTCTAACATCTGTCTACCATCGCTGTAAGACAAAACATTATTTAGAAACACTTCTCGATCACAAAAGCTATTTAATTTGCATCGTATCGACGCATTTTGAACAAAACAGAAAACAATCTGTAATTATTTTCAACAACATTACTTCGTTTTCAGAATTTGTTTTTGTGCAATTATATTGATTTTTCTTCATTTCCCCAAAGGAAGTATCAGTATCTGATGGGTATTGCTCTATGGACAATGGTTTAAATGCCTATTTATTTATTTTCCTGATTATAATTTTATATAATGATTTAATTACCAAAACATTTGATTCGATTCAAATACCTCCATGGCACTACTTATCTGTTAGAATAATGCCCAACACTTATTGCATCAAACTGAAATTGTAGTGTCTTGTTGATATTACAATTATTCATATTTCTTAATTTGCTTGTGTGCGTTTCAAATTCTTTGATCAGTTCATAAAAGAATCATTTCTCGTCATGTCAGCAACTGAAATAGAATGTGAAATCCATTTCATGAACACTTATAGTATAATGAAATGGGACGAATTAATGTAARCAAGCATCCATTATTTAAGACAGTGTTATTTTTTATTTAGTACTTCCAATATTTAATATGTTTTTTCTTTATTTATTACATGATATAAGAGTGGTAAATCATGATCGTTAATCGATTAAACAGAAGATTGCTCTTGGGTTGGCCACCAAAGAAGAATTKTTGAAACAAATAAAAGTTGAATTAAATATGTTGGATACCTATATATCAACTTAAAATATTGATGTAAGACTGACAAATAATTTTATTTTAATTACCTATAATTATTATTATCATTATTATTATTATTATCAGCAACAAATGAAAGAAAATTACACTGAATATATTAATACAGAAATACTTACCATTTTATCAAATCGTATCAATGATATTATGTACAGCCGTATGTTTCTAATGTTTCCTGTTGAAAAGATTTCAGTATCAGAATATATTGAGTTCTGTTCAAATAATGTAAGTAAACAAATTACAAATTAAATTATTTCAATATAAGAAGTATTTTTTATTTAAATTAATATCGATAGATTACTGGGCCTCACTGAGAAAAACTCGTGTGGAGGCCCATGGGTTATCTTAGATTACAAATAATTCTTATTGCTTTAGGTACATATTACATTTTTAAAAACAAATTAGGAATTTTTCATAAATAAATCACATAAATAATACCAGTAACTATTACAAGCGCTAAATCAGTATGTCACATACAATTTTAAGTCTTACACACATATTCATATCGTAGCCAGTGGTTAATTTTCTTTTTTGAATATGAGTAGCGGTAAATTAACCATATCATTGGGCATCAAGTTGAGTATCTTTGTTCCCAAAAAATAGTAAACTTTTCGGCAACTAGTTTTTGAGGGCCAATCTAAGGAAAATTTACTAGCTGCATATCTGGTGTTGACTCCATGGTTTATAGAATCCAACTGATTATGTTTTTTTCAGATATATGGTGATTGTTTTTAGGTATAAGAGTTCTATATTGAGGACATTAAAGTCTTTGAATAGTTTTTYGGTTTGATATCTCCAATTTTTCTTGTTTGCGACCCTGAGTATAGTGTTTTGGCATTTCTGGAGCGGTAAAAGGGCRTTGTTGTAGGCAACACCCCATCCGATTATGCCATATGATACTATTGACTCGAATAGTGTTAGGTATATAGTTCTGATATCTTTGAAAGGCAATATTTCATGTAATTCTTTCATTAKGTATATCATTTTTTTTAGTTCATTTGTGACGGATGTAATCTGGTTTATCCATTTCATATCAGAGCACATTTCTATGCCTAAATACTTACAGTTTTTGACAATACTAACTGAGTTACAATCACAGCTTTCCAATGTATTACAGTTGGATTTGTGGATTTTTATATTGTGTATGGGTGGTAAAGTTTGTTCAGACAGTGAGTGGAGTTAGATGGTTGATTTATTGAGATTTAGRAATAAACTGTTATCGCTCAACCAATAATAGATTTAAGATCGACTTCTATGTTTTGGAATACTTCATAATTTCATTCCAAGAACTACCAATACAGATCAGTACGGTGTCGTTTGCATAACACACTTTTACTATTTAACTGAAGTTGTTTTATATCGTTTAAATGGATGTTAAAGAGAACCGGAGATAGTGTAGTACCTTGAGATACTCCGCATTTTATAATATTTTCACTAGAAATAGTACTGTTTATTTTTACCCTCTGTTTTCTAGATAGGATTTAGTGAGAGACAAGGCCGATCCAGTTATGCCTATATTCTGTGTTCTACTTAGAAGTTTATCGTGATCCACTGTATCGAAGGCTTTAGCCAGATCTAAATAAATTGTAGCACATTTTTTTTCTTCATCGAGAGCAGTATAGATAAGTTTTGTGACATTAGCTATTGCTTGGTCCGTGCTTCTATTAGGTCTAAAACCGAATTGATATTCAAAAAGAAGATTGTTTGATTCTAAGAAGAATATAAGTTTCTTTTTTATGATTTTTTCAAATGTTTTAGCTATGTTTGAGATAACTGATATCGGACGAAAGTTTTCGAGAACTGAGATAGGACCTTTCTTATGT